CCGGTATCGCAGAGGTCATGGGTTCAAATCCCGTACGGGCCTGAATTTTTTTCAGGTCCTATTTACAACTACTAGTTTCAGTAGTGTTCTTAGCTGCGAGGATCTTCTAATTTCATCTCTCCACCGCAGTGCAAATATGTGAATTTTCATATATCTAAATTCTTCATTCACTTGGATGTTTATTTGTACCCAATTCATTGACCAGCTCCCAGTTGGCTTGTTAGCTCAATTGGTAGAGCGCTGCACCGGTATCGCAGAGGTCATGGGTTCAAATCCCGTACGGGCCTGAATTTTTTTCAGGTCCTATTTACAACTACTAGTTTCAGTAGTGTTCTTAGCTGCGAGGATCTTCTAATTTCATCTCTCCACCGCAGTGCAAATATGTGAATTTTCATATATCTAAATTCTTCATTCACTTGGATGTTTATTTGTACCCAATTCATTGACCAGCTCCCAGTTGGCTTGTTAGCTCAATTGGTAGAGCGCTGCACCGGTATCGCAGAGGTCATGGGTTCAAATCCCGTACGGGCCTGAATTTTTTTCAGGTCCTATTTACAACTACTAGTTTCAGTAGTGTTCTTAGCTGCGAGGATCTTCTAATTTCATCTCTCCACCGCAGTGCAAATATGTGAATTTTCATATATCTAAATTCTTCATTCACTTGGATGTTTATTTGTACCCAATTCATTGACCAGCTCCCAGTTGGCTTGTTAGCTCAATTGGTAGAGCGCTGCACCGGTATCGCAGAGGTCATGGGTTCAAATCCCGTACGGGCCTGAATTTTTTTCAGGTCCTATTTACAACTACTAGTTTCAGTAGTGTTCTTAGCTGCGAGGATCTTCTAATTTCATCTCTCCACCGCAGTGCAAATATGTGAATTTTCATATATCTAAATTCTTCATATGGAATGATATTCCCTAAGAGACCTTATTCCTTTTTATTGAGCACAGCGGAAAACAACTATTTGTGTCATTTGCGCTAATTTCCACATAGAACTGACAGCTGCTGAGAGCTTTGTTTGATGTATTTTCATGATACGCTTTCCTTCATAACAATAGGTCGGTTTGGGCTGCTTATTCCACTGCTGGAAGCTGGTGACCGACTTAAAACTTTTATCACACGTGCGGGGTAGAAATAGAAGACCGTAATCTTGAATTGATTTATTCATTTATGAGTGCAATCTTATTTCATATATCACTTTCATTCTCTTCGCTGATACAGAACGAATAAAAGTTACAAATAAATTAAGTAAGGTAAACAGCCACGTTCAACCTCCACCCATGACTGACACTCATTTTTGTAAAATTAAAGGGTATCTAACGAAGATTTTTAAGCGCATCCTACTCAGAAAGTTGGATATAAGATGCAAAACACAAACAACTTCGACCACCAATTAAGTCAATTAAAAAATCCTACATTCCCAACTCTGTTCTCTCAATAACATGTACGTATTACGTAGTTTAGCAAACGGAATTTGATGTCTTTTCATCGAAAGGAGGTAGATTTTTACCGCTCTCAACCATCTCAGATAATTTTGTTTTACCTTAGAACATTGCCTGAACATGAAAGAGTATTTTAAAAGTTCTAAAGAAAGCTATTGACGCAAAAGTCTTTAAGGACTAGTTTAAAATACTCTCTTCCAAAATTTCACCAAAAACTTAATGACCCAGTATGGTTGGATTATTGGAAAAATTTGCATAAATGTTGCGTACAACTTGTAAAGTTTCTCTAGTTTGAAAATTTATGGCGTTGCAACGTTCGCTCGTTTGCCATTTATCAATAATAACTTTGATTTAGAAAGATCCTTCTTAATCTTTTTCGTCGAATTTAAATGCTAAGATCAAAACTTTTTACAGAGGAAGAAATAGTTTTTGCTGTGTTATTTTTGGAAAGAACCTCATTTATACTCACAAAGGCTGGGTGTACATAACAGGTGGCATCTGTAAACAATTAAAAAAAGAAATGATAACTTGACTACTCTTCATCTGAGATGTATAACGTTCAACTTTCAAATTTACTTATCTTCCGGGAAGGGTCGATTTATCACGTTTATACTGAATTTATCAGTAAAAACATTTTTAATCTGCTGCGTGATGTCAGTAAACAATGGTACGCCTCATTGCGTATTAGCATAAATTACTTCGACTCGAGGGAAAACAAAACTAACTGCTTCCCTCGGGAACATACATTTAGTGTAGCAATTGCAATTTTTTTTTATGACTTCTCCACTATGAACTTTAATGATCAGTTTGCTTCCCTTAACATTTGTTTGAAAAAAAAATTACATTCCTTCCGCGAATCCTTTGTCATTCGCGTCAAGTACCTGCAGTTTTTAAATGGACGTTATAATTATTTATACATCCAGATGTAGATGCTACTCAGAGGGAAGTGATCGAAGTAGTTTGTTCGTTCATAAAAGGCCTTATGCAAAAACAGTTTTAGCAAATTATTTAGAATATAATCCTCGATAAACTCCTTTTTTTTATTTTCTTTTTTAAGATGGATGATTTGGTGCAAAGTGCGTTTACTTTTCTCAATCCAAGGTTGTTTGTTGAATTTACTTTTGTCAGTAAATGCATATGGTGTTTATATAATAAACAAAAAAATAGATGGTTCCCCGTAGATATGGAATTTCCTGTTTCGTGTTCAACACTCACGAGTGAGTGCAGTGAACGAGAAGAGAAATTATCTACGCGCGCCCATCTATTGTGCTTCATGATTAAACGCCAGGGTACATCTGGAAGACAATAATGGTTAGAGTGGGAATAGTGGTAATTAGACCTAATAAATTATTAAATTCCCCATTATCCCCATAAACATCCTTGTTAACCTTGAAGCTTATCCGCAATTAGAAGAATGTACATACCAAAGAAGGCCTAACTATCAGTGTGTTAAAGATCTTGGAACTTCGAGAACATGTGAGGACATGTAAATCAAGCATCACTAACGTAAGAAATTACCTAAAGCTTGATCATGAAACTCAAACCACTTTCTTACTTAGATATAAAAGTAAATATGTTCATAACTAAACTCAGGGTCAGGAAACAAAGCAAAGAAAACTTGGAGAATCTCGCACAATCATCGATCAAGCTTGAACTTGTCGGGGAAAAGGAATTTAAGTTATTTCTGATAAACGACCACCACCACGACCGTTGTGCATCATAGAATTGATAAATAATATCGGAAAATAATGATTCGAAGTTTTCTTCTGATATTAGTTAACCTTATCATTATTTTAACGAAACGTGGCTGAGATTAGGAATGCCCCACTTTATTTCATAATCCCTCTCAAGAATTGGAAGGTAAAGAATCCAAAAAGAACACCATTCACAGACGCAATTTTTGACTACAGACAATATCGAAAAACAAGGAAAACAGGTTGTCATAGCCCTCTTAGATATGTTTACAACAAGAGAGGATGCGTCTGTTATAGACACGATATGCAAAAAGACGGTCGTCAGATTCCAAGAGAATAAAGGGAGTTTTGAGTAGTTTAAGAACACCTGGTGGAGGGAGATATCCACACGCTAAATTTTTATAATATTGTTCTAAGGACTGATTTCGGTGTCTGATAGGTATGTTAACATGTAAAGATAAATAATTATTCTTAAGAGACCCAATTCTCTCCATCGAGCGAAGCGGATAACATCCATTTGCGTCATTTGCTTTAATTTCCACATAGAACTGACAGCTGTAAGCTTTTTTTCTTTAATTTATTATCATAAAACGGTTGCGTTCACAAAAAAACAGGTCGATTTTGGAAGTTGAATCCACTGATGAGGGCTGGTTATCAACTTAAACTTATGCCATGCATGCGGGGTAGAAACAGAAAACCGTTACCTCGAAGCAGGCACGGAATTTGTCTCATTTTTCATGATAGTAGCCTAGAATGCATTATTGAATTATAGAAAAGGTGAGTCGCAGACGGCGAAGAAAGTTTTATCCTTCGATTCACGGATGAGAGCAACCTTATTTCTCCTTTATTCTCTTTTGCTGATACAAAAAGAGTTAAGGTAACAGCAACTAGCAAAGACTAAGTCAAAAACCGACAACCATGGCGTGTCCTAATGGAAATTAGCATAAATTTCCTCTTTCTATGATCATCGGTCTAAATAACCAAAGACAATCATGTAAACTCGAATATGAAACTTTGAATTTTCAAGCACCTGTATAATGAAGAAAGCGAAAAAAAGGTTTATAGAGGAAAATAAATATTTTTTCATGACTTATCGATCATGAAGTAGAAGAGGAACTTGAAAAAATCAGCGGATAGCTTTTATTAACGGCTTTTGCTCTGTCTTCCTTAAAATAATGTAGTTCAGGAGAAACAAAACACACGAAAATGCTTTCTAGAAATCTTGTGTCTTCACAAAAGACAAGCGTATGCAGTATGCTACCAATTTTGTTCTCGTTTCATAGTTGTTTTTAACGTTTTGGGAGGGAGTCGGGGCTGGAGATAATTATCAAGGGCCCTATTATACAAAAAAATAGGAATTTAAGATATAACAGCGGTAACAGCGACATCAGACGAGTGCAGAGTTTTGTCAACGTTTCGAGGTTTTGAAGATTTGAGAAGTGGGTACTAAAAGAAAGAAAGGGAAAAAAGGAAAAAAAGGAAGAAAAAAAGAGGGTAGACGAAAATGAAAGAAAGCGAGAAAAAAAAAGGTAAAGGCAAGAAAACCTGCTCATCAGTTATTTTCTTTGTTCAAGGAAAAGAAACCGAGTTCCTAACGTACTGGAAAGTGCCTGAAAGCTACATGTGGCTCAAACAATCGAGACTCAAGGTCACGTTTATGCATAAAATATCACGCATGACTGCATCATTAACAGTTACGAAACTGAAACTCGAAACTGAAAGCCACGCCGACGAACAGACTTTTACAATTAAGAAAGATGCTGTGTTAACCTTTCATGATTATAAGCTAAAACTTCGAGTGAAGGGAATCATCTGCTTGAGAGTGAAGTAAATCCTGCATTCACGCCTAGAGATCTCATCTGAGATGGCGTCGTCAGAAAATGAGACTATCTCTTTGGATCATATCCATCCAAAACCTGCAAATCTTGGAGAACAACTCTCCATTACGGGAAGCAGAGATCTACTGACAGCTGCCAATCGTTCTTCTAGATCCCGCCGAAGCGTTATGGTCATTCTTGTTGCTATTGCAGTGGCAATTTCTGCAATCATCGCGGCAGTGTTCATTGGAAAATACGTTTCAGAATACCTTAGTGATGATAACATGAAAAGTAAGTATCAGATGTCACTCAAGTTTTGCTATTTATTCAGAAGTCAACAATAAAAAACAACATATTTGAACAAAAGAGAGAAGTTGGTCGAAATTTCAGCACATCCATGTGTCATTGTCGATGTCCTCAGTAATAGAAAGTAATCATCTTATTTTCACATAAAGCTAAAAGCTAGCGGACAAAATTAATCAATAGATATATGGACAAGACGATAAAGTATTCAGTTTGATCATGTAAATGGTAAGCATTAAAGAAGGAAACATGTAGGAGCACTTTCGTTCGCGTTGTCCAAACCCCGCCAGATTTATTTTTCAAATTCGATATCAAAAGCTTCGTAAATTTAAAAATACCAATTCTACAAAAAAGTCATAAAGCTGGCGTTTTTGTCCTCTCATCAATGTTAGGGTAAGAGCGATAAGTTTTAAATGTGCTTTGGAAATCAAAGAGGCAAGCGATCCGTTGACAGAACATGCACGAGCACATAAGTAGCTGCGAGGCTACTTAAGAGCATTCCAGCGGTAAAATTTCAGTTTTACAGTGTTATCTGCCTGTTTGAATTACCCAGTGGTTACCCAAGCGTGCGTTCCTACAAAAGTGAAGTAGGCTCCCGAATACAACCAAAAGTTACAAAATGGCCAATAAGTAGCAGATAACCATTGTTCCAGTTGTTTTCTTAATACCTAGTTTCATCAGTTAGCTTTAGATTAGTAATAAATTAGTCCTTTTATGGAGCCTGGGAAAAAATCTACGTCATTCCAGGCATTTTTAAAGAAGTCATGTACAGTTCAATTTTGGGATCATTTGCGATCCGGATTAACTTTTTACAAAAACTTTTTTAAAACTTTTTCTTAAATAATAAACAGCACTGCATGAAATGAGATGCTAAAAACTTGCCTCATTCTCCTACGCGTCCTATTTGACAACAGCAGGAGTTTATACAAGTAGGCAAATAAGTTTGCTCAGTGAAGTGAAATGAAGCAAAAGTATGACAAAAGTGTTCTACATGCGTGACATTTTGAAGACGTTACATATAAGAGTACGCGTTGTGTATGGTGGTCAAAGATTAAGAACTAAATCTACGAGCTGAGTTCTTGTAAGTTTTGCACACGAATTTCGGTTCTTGAGTCCATGCTATTTTGATGTAGAAGGCAGAAATAGCAGCTCTAATTTCACTTTAATGGCGTAGGGTGTCACGATGACAAATGGCAAGTTAAGTCGATTAATTTACTTTTCTGATACTTTGTTTTCTTTAACTCTAGATTGCACTGAATTATAAATTCTTCGGACAACAATCAGGCCAAAACGATGTCATATTTCCTCCCAGGGTTAAAGTTAAAATGAATGCTTTCATAAAAAAATTCATCTCTTGTGTTGTTCCTCCATTAAGCTACCTTTTTCTACATTTACTTGTGTCCTCAGGCATCGACGAGTGCAGCACTGGAATCTATGTGTGTGACATAAATGCAAACTGTACTAACACTGACGACTCTTATATCTGCGCCTGCAAGGAAGGATACACCGGAGACGGGCATTCATGCCAAGGTATAATCATTGCATTTGACCTAACAAATAGCGGAATAAAGTTTCCCACAAATAAAAAAACTCTTTCCATTAAAACTTAGAAATCTGATGTTTTTCTCCCTGTCTAGTAACGTTTTGGCAATTCGTTTTTGTTCACAGATGTCAATGAGTGTAGCGATGGCAACCATGTTTGCGATGTTAATTCGAATTGTAACAACACAAATGGTTCTCATATTTGTACCTGCAAAGAAGGATACGCTGGAGATGGACAGTCATGTCAAGGTGAATACGAGTAGTCCACACTGCTAAAAACAAACAGCTTTGCTCCTAAGCTATTGCCCATGAAAATTAGCCCACATTTTAGAGGCCTGTTTTGACGCACCACTATCGTATTTCTATTAAATTACCTTTATACATCACTGACGCTGCTAGATATCGACGAATGCAGCAAAGGAAGCCATGATTGTGACATAAATGCGCACTGCACCAACACTGATGGCTCCCATAGCTGCACCTGTAAGGAAGGATACACTGGAAAAGGAGAATCATGCCGAGGTAAAATTAGATTAGACTTTGAAAAAAAGCAGAATAACTGTTCATCACAAATAATTGCCTTGTCATCCAAACAAACTGGCTGAAGATTTTTTTCTCTATTCAATTACCCATTGCAAATCTTTTGTGTTCACAGATGTTAATGAATGCAACGATGATGTTTGTGATGCTAATACTAACTGTACCAACACTGTTAAGAATATATGAAAGTCAAATATTTGAACTGCAGATAAAGACGTAAATGAAAGTGATCCTCGCAGTAATGTGCACTACTTAGGCAGTAGTGGAAATAAGGCCTGAAAAAAAAAAAAAAGCAGGCCTGTACGGGATTTGAACACATGACCTCTGCGATACCGGTGCAGCGCTCTACCAACTGAGCTATCATGCCAACTGGGAGCCTGTTATGATATTGGTTCTAAATAAACCTGTGAAGTGATGAATAAACGGTTAAGAATATATGAAAGTCATATATTTGAACTGCGGATAAAGACGTGGATGAAAGTGATCCTCGCAGGAATGTGCACTACTTAGGCAGTAGTGGAAATAAGGCCTAAAAAAATTCAGGCCTGTACGGGATTTGAACCCATGACCTCTGCGATACCGGTGCAGCGCTCTACCAACTGAGCTAACAAGCCAACTGGGAGCGGGTCATGATGTTGGTTCTAAATTTTTACCAACACTAATGGTTCACATAATTGCATCTGTTAGGAAAGATACATTAGAGATGTACAGTCTTGCCAATGTAGATTAGAACAGCGACACCTTATGTCGAGCAAAGCACCTTTCCATAACCAGAATTGTCTTCGTAACTGGGCTAACGATCAAGAGGCAACGCAATGGTTTTCACACCCCGACCTCGTGTTTCTATTAAGTTACGGATATCATAATATGCATAGATACACAATTTTTGCTGGTTTAAAATATAATACGTGCGGATATTTTACGAGTGGCTAAAAGTGTTTCCGAGCCCAGAAGGAACGAGGATAAAAGAAGGCATGAGCATGAGATATATCATACCACCATTACCTGGAATATTTTTCTCGAATATGCGGCGACGCTCGGATAACCACCCCCCCCCCCCCCAACCCTTCTCCTCCCTCAGTTTTTTAAATAGTATAGATACAAGGAAAATCTGTTTCTACTGCCACATTTTTTTATATAACTTTTCAACCTTCAACAACAGCGCAATCAGTACAGCAGAATAATTTTTTTTCCATACGAAATTTTTCTATGTTCATGAGTTTGCAGAGTTCCTTTATGTATTATCTATTATTTTGATTTTATGTCCTACTCCTGAGGTAATTTAAGAAGCGCCCCTCTCGACTAATCGATGACGCACCCCCCTACAAATAAGTGCCCCCCCTCCCCCCCCCCCTCAGTTTTAGCCGAAATTTTCAGTAAGCGCCTAAGCGCTCATTGAAAATGTCTAATATTTCAATTATTAAAGTATACACAATATCGCTTGAGGAACTAGACATGTATCTTGCGGAGTTTATTCGCTCTTTTCGACTTAGAGACAGAGAATATTATGAACCTTCAGGCTTAATATGCCTTGTTTCAAGTTCTGAGAGGTATTTTGATATTTTTTGCTTGCTTTCAGTATGTTGCATTATTTCTATCGAGAAGGGAAATTTATGTGGCTATTATCTTTCATGATCGATTTATAAACCATTGTCTGTTTGACAATTAAATGCTATAAAGGACGAATTTACTCTCCTTATGTAATGTATACTATATAATAAACCTAATACATCACATATAGTCAGTCCGTACGGTATATAAACAATCGTTGCTTTATATCAAAAATCTCACTCGTTTGCTGCGTTCACTCCCTCGACTTTCGATACTACGATCTCGTGCGTAAATACCATAAAGACAGACTTTGCACGAATTATTCTATCTATATCATATGTACTACCAGATATCGATGAGTGCCTCAATAGAAGCCATGCTTGTGACGTGACTGCGAATTGTACCAACACTGACGGCTCCCACATCTGCACCTGTAAGGAAGGATACACTGGGGACGGACACTCATGCCAAGGTATAATCATCACATAAGACTTTGCAAATAGCAGAATGAAGTTTCCCACAAATAAAAACAAAACTCTTTCTTTGAAAACTCAGAAATTTGATGTTTGTCTCTGTCAAGTAACGTTTCGGCAATTCCTTTTTGTTCTCAGATGTCAATGAGTGTAGCGATGGCAACCATGTTTGCCATGTCAATTCGAATTGTAACAACACAGATGGTTCTCACATTTGTACTTGCAAGGAAGGATACACTGGAGACGGACAGTCATGTCAAGGTGAATAAGAGTTGCCTACACTAATTAAAACAAGCAGCTTTGCACATAAACTATCGCCCATGGGAATTAGCACACACTTTAGAGGCCTGTTTTCACGCACCACTGTCATATTGCTATGGCGTTACCTCTTATACATCACTTATGCTTCTAGATATCGATGAATGCAGCAATGGAAGCCATGATTGTGACGTGAATGCGAATTGTACCAACACTAATGGCTCCCATAGCTGTACCTGTAAGGAAGGATACACTGGAAAAGGAGAGTCATGCCAAGATAAAATTAAATTAGACTTAGAAAAAAGCAGAATAACCTTTCATCAGAAATAATTGCCTTGTTATCCGACAAACTGGCTAAGATTCCATTCAGTTACCCTTTGCAAATCTATTATGTTCACAGATATTGATGAATGAAACGATAATAGTCATGTTTGTGATGCTAATGTTAACTGTACCAACACAAATGGTTCATATAATTGCATCTGTAAGAAAGGATACATTATAAATGGACAGTCTTGCCAACGTAGATTAGAAAAGCGATACTTCATGTCGAGCAAAGTAGCTTTTCATAATAAGTATTGTCTTCGTAACTAAGGTTATGAACAAGAAGCAACTTAATGATTTTCACGCCCCGACCTCGTATTTCTATTAAGTTACGGGTTTCATTATATGCATGCATTCACATTTTACCAAGATTTAAAATATAATACGCGCAGATATTTTACGAGTTGCCTGGTATTTTTCCGAGCGCGAAAGGAACAAGGATAATTAAGAGCAATGAGCAAGATTTCCTCTCGTATTATATGATAAACCATCGAATATGTGATTTATTATTAGTTCCTCACTTTTTTAAATAGTATAGACAGAAGGAAAAATCTCTGTACAGCCACAAAATTTTCAACCTTCAACAACAGCGCAATCAGTACAGCAAAATAATTTTACTTTCAATTTCAGATTTTCTTAAATCTTTATGTGCTTTCAGAGTTCCTCTACGTATTATCTTTTATTTTGATTTTGATGTCCTATTGCTGAGATAACTTAAGGCGGGGTTCCACCTGAAAAAGTGACATTTTTGCATCACTTGTGACAGCTATGGTTTTCATCAAAATCATAGCACACTATACATCATTAGAAAGCTATCGGCCTGAAGATTATGAAAATGTGTATTTGAATGCGGTATTTTTTTTTTGTAACCTGATACCAAGCCCCTTAAATAGCACGTGCTGTGGCTGACCTGGACCTACTTGAGAAAAGATTTTTACATATAGTTTCACATGAAACATGAATTTTTACTATTTTTCTCAAGTAAACAGATTGCTTACTGGGATGAATGAAGGACTTAGCAAAATTTCAAAATGTGAAGCCTCAACACCCATCTAAAGTTGCGCAATCAAAATTAGGCAGCATTTCTTAAAATAACCTTTTTTCTAAACACTTATGACAAATTCCTTCATTCATCACAACTAACTCAGTGAAACCCAGCTAACCTGAAAATTTCAGGTCAATAAATCAAATCCCTCTTTAGTTATCTCTTCTCAAATGCAAAAATGCCGCATTTTGAGAAACTTAGCCTTAAAACTTCAGAAATGGAATAATTTGGACGGGACTGCACAGGTACTTGATGCGTTTCTTTTGTAACCATTCCCAACAGAAGGAAAAGCACTATCATATTTTACCAACACAATCAATCCTTGTATAAAAAAGAGATGAATGTAGGCCTAAAGAAAATGGTGATAATGACACATTTGTATTCAATAAACATTCAAAAATCTCAACTGGCAAAGGGAGACTTGATGGAAGGGCTTACAGGACAGAACAACGTAGTTGAAATTGGGGGAACCGAGAAAAAGTCTGGTGAGTGGTAACTTGAAGGGCCTGTCTCTAGAACCACAAGACAGAAAGACTAAGGTTCCCAAGCTTATGCGCGGCAAATTTTTCTCGATTAATTTTTTTAATGCTTATGATTTTACAGATATTGACGAGTGTAAAGGAAGTCACTCTTGTCACGTGAATGCTACATGCACGAACACCCTTGGATCACATGTATGTCAATGTCACGCTGGATATACTGGAAATGGACAAAACTGCACAGGTGAATTTAATCTCTTCGCTACAATATGTAGAACAGTCCTGCATGACACGTTCGACTACAGTGCTGCACCATTCAGCCGCGTTGCAAGATAATTAGACAATTTATTACTAAGAAATTCGGTCATTTTGTCCTCATTTAATATATAGTGAATGATACCTGGGTTCCCGCTGACTTGGAATTTCTCTTCGAGTGTTCAACTGGCTACCTCATGAGTGAGAGCAGCAAACTAGTGAGGTATCGAGTAAGAGAATAATATATAGATTTAGCCAAGCCTAAAAGCGGTGATGTGATTAGCTATACGAACACAATAGGCCTTTACTGAGAATATAAGGCGACTTTTTGAAAAGAATGATATAATAGGTTTCACAATCCGCGAAAAAAAGTCGTAGTCGTATATCCACATTTTTTTAGATATTGATGAATGCCAAAAAAATACTCACGATTGTCACCTGAACGCTACTTGTCAAAACGTTAATGGATCCTTTGTGTGCACCTGTTTATTTGGATTTAAAGGAGATGGACGGAACTGCACAGGTAAAGGCCTTTAGATTGTAATTGCCTCGTTATGACCTTACTTGTTTGTTTGTGTTTGTATTTTTAATTGTTTGTTTAATTTGTACGTTCCTTCTTTGTTTTTTTTTTGTTTATTTTGACAAAGTAGTTACCCTTGCCTTAATATTTTGACCAATGGTAGAAAATGAAAATCTTTAATCCCAATTAAAAGCAAGAGGATAAAATGCTCTCAATGTTCAAAATAAGGAGGTTTATACATGTATCATGCTCCAAGAATCGTGATTGAAAGCCTGTCATTTCTCAGATATTGACGAATGTGCAAGAAATCTTTCTTGTCATGTGAATGCTAACTGTACCAACACAATTGGATCACATGTATGTACATGCCACACTGGATACACTGGAGATGGACAAACTTGCTCAAGTGATTTTGATAACTTCCCTTCAATGTCCAGAAAAGCCCTTTATGACGGAAGAGAGGCAACCTTCATTGCTGCTCTTTCTATATGTACAATCCCAGCTACTCAAAGTGGGAGGTAATCTGAAACGTCTTTTTAGCTCAAATTATAAGACTGGAAGTAATCAAACATTTATCCTAAAATTCATCCCTTATTAAAAATTGTGGATTGTTTTGTTTTGTTTTGTCCCATATCCTTTGAGACTAGATTTGCAGTATTTTGGAAAGGTATTCATTATATCTTGATTCGCCAAAACATTTTTCATCATAACATCTAACTCTGGGTTGTGACGTGGTGCACTTGATCCCCATCAGACATTGACGAGTGCTCACAAATGAACATGTGCGATAAGAACGCCTCTTGCAGTAATACCCAGGGCTCCTACAGTTGCGCCTGTAATCCTAAATACATTGGGGATGGTCTGACTTGTAAAGGTTAGTCTCTTTTAATCCATGCCTTATATATTTTTTAGAGATGGTACTGGCTGAACTCGCTGTAAATAATGTTGAGTGAATGGCTATTCTTGTTTGGCCATGTAACAAATCACGTTAGTTTTTAATACCTTTAGTTTGCTTGGAAACGTCCATCGACAAAACATCGGGGATAAAGAAAGATAAATTTGATTTTTTACATCATATTTTTGGACTTGAAGGCATTGTTTTTGTCCACCAGGAGAGAAAATAATTTATTCTTGATGATGCATAAATGTTCTGCAAATGTAATTATATTGATGATGTCTCAATTAAACAGAAAAGTCTGATTGGTTAAAATCGATATTGACCGCACTTACGATTTTCTCACTCTGACCTAATAAGGTAATTCCTCAGGAAAAAAAAAAGACATCTAACAATTTTTTTAGTCTGCCTAAAATAAGAAAGGCAGGTCACCTTGCTTGTTTGAGAGAAATGACGGGCAACACTTACCTCGTTTATGCCACTACTAGCAATTTTTCCCGCGCGTCATTTCAAGGTACATTTTTTGGTAGCTGGAATCAAGGGATTTCGAAGTAAAAATTAAAAGAAAAAACTTAAAAGGTACAAAGTCTCGAGCGAGTGGAAAATTTGATATGTAATTTGTGGAAATTATTTATATATATTAGTAATTATTATCACTCAAAACGTTCCTCACGTCGTTGTTTTCAAGGTAATGATTTTCATCATCAAGTAACAGGCTTTGTGCACGTTTTTAGCTATGTCTTCTTTTTTTTTTTTTTTTTTGCCTTCGACAATTTTCTTAATTTCTCCAAGTTGAAGGGGAAGATTTGTACAAAAAAATTATGCAATTAAAAATAGAGGTCACCCCGCTCGTTCAAGAGCTAAAGAGCATTGTGCCTGTTTGCATGGTCCATTTATTGAAAAGCAATACCGTGTTCTCGGAATGTGTGGGCTTACTTGCCTGATTACGTGATTTGTATTCGCAGTACAGGATGCCCAGTGCAATACTGAGGAATCACCTTTAGACTGATAGCAAGATTCAGTTTGTTTGTTTTTTTTTATCTAAATAGTAATTAATGGAAGAATATTTGTCTAAATAAGGAAAACGTAGACAAATTTGAGTGTAGCCGACGAAACTACGAGCATAGCAACTTGACTTTTTACAACGCGAATTTTTGTCAGATGCACGATTTGATTGGCTATTAGGAAACACTATCGTCCAGAGCATGTGTTGATAAAATATTTATCAGTCATGTTATAAACAAACAACATTTACCTTTGATAGAAATAGTAGAGATGGTAAGTTTTGAGCTCGATGAAGAATTAAGAAAGATGTTTTTTCGTCTTGTCACGAGCGTGGGATAAAGAAAAATTCTGAGTCCCCATGAGGAATCTTCTTCACCGAGCACAAAACTTATATAGGTTTCACAATCCACGAAAAAAGAAGGCGTAAAGTGCATCGGCGATAACGCTCAAGATGAATATATGCGTTGAACCATTACAGAAACAGACAATGGGCGTAGCTTTCTTTTTACAAAATTCTCAGTTATTGACTTTTTCCTTACCGACAAAAGAAATTTTTTCATGTACACGCCCGAAATCGGCCTGTGGCAAATCTTCCAGTTGTCGATTTTCGTTCTCAACCACGAGAAATACCATTACCCAGGTCGAGGACCTAACTTTAGGTTTTTCTTTTCGTATTTTGTTTTACTTCCCCTTCTAAGAAATTTTGAGTGACATTGTCTGTTAGAAATACGAATTTTTCTTTGTTTTTTTTTAGCAGCCATAATTCAAGAAAATTTCAACATACGACCCTGGATTGAGAACGGTCAACGCTTTGCCATTCATTTATTAACCTGACACAGCTGATTGTGAAATTAAACACATGTAAAAAATTATCGTAATATTACACACGTGTTTAACAAGAATTTCCCGGCTCTTCTCTGGGCGGGAAATCGTTTTAAACCACCGCAGTTTATATAATAGCGTTTTTTTTCTTAAGCTTTCTTATGACGAAATATATTAAACATCGCATTAACCGAAATTCAACCTTTTAGCCGATCCGTGCTATAATTACATAAACCTGAGCGATGCTGACAGAAAGAGCACTTACAACACACCCTACGGTGGAGAAAAATGTGACGACGATTCCTCATCCATAATATTCGGGAAATGGTATCGTTTCGTGGGAGATGCAGGAACAAAAATGCCAACCCAGTGCGTACCGGATCATAGATGTGGTACGGTCTTCTCAGGCTGGCTAAAAGGTGGTCACCCCACATTGGCAGATGGTGAGGTTTACTCCGAGGTCTGCTTTACCAGAGGTGCAGATTGTTGCAAGAAATCAATTAATATTAAAGTGAAAGACTGCGGATCCTACTTTATTTACAAACTACAAAAGGTACCTGCTTGTGATCTGCGTTACTGTAGCACAGACTAAATGCTATAAGCAAGTTATTCTGCACAGCGAAATGATTCACAAATCGATTTATTGGCACATGTATATTATTGTATAACAGGGACTTTCAGAATTTCACATGATCCACTTTTTATGATTAGTGTTAAATAGTGAATAGTTTGAACAGAAGACTACCTTTGGACGGCGCAGTTTGATCTTCCAAGTAGGAGTACTCCTGAGAAGTTGTGACAGAAGGTTGTCAGTAATAGTGACTAACGTTTCTATAACCTCAGCGGAAATCATCAGCAGAGTCGATTCAATAATTGTTGTTTATCCGAGTGTTAGAACAGACTCCTCCCCCCCCCCCCCCCCCCCCCCCCCCGTGGCAAATTTAAACAACTATGGGCATTAGTTAGCTTTCCAATAATCTTAGTATCACCTATATCTATTCCAATCGAAGAGCTTCACTAAGTAAGTTTTAAGCACAACTTTGAGCATTGTATTTTGCTTATTACAAAACGCTTTGGACTCTTGATGTTTACTCAGGTCGTTAGAAACTAAAGCAGCTTTTAATACCCACCCATTCTGGGCATGTAATTGTTATTCTGTCTGAAAGCCCTCCACTATGGATCACGGCAGTCCGTGATTATGAGCCAGTTGTTTATTATGTTCGGTCATGCTTTCATTGGCATCATTATTTACAAGGATTTTTAAGTCGTATTAGGTGTGTTGTGGATAGAGACTGTAAATAATTTCAAAAATTATCAGTCACTATGACATTCATACTCAAACTTTCTGATGACATAGCATGGAAAACTAAAACATTCTATTAGGTATGTAATTATGATGTATTTCTGCCACAACAGTTGTGTTGTAAGCTTCGAATTCCGGAATGTTTTAAAATACATCGTGAATGTTTATAAGGACTCAGTCAGCTAGGAGTGGTAATTTAGTTTTTCGGAAAAGACTGACTATAAAGGAAGCTCTACCGAAAGATAACTCAGTACTGTGATATCCTTCAAAAATTGTGTATTTTGTGCAGATTTGGAGGCAAACGTGAGTCTTTGGTTTCCGTAGAGAGCTAAGTTACAGTCTGTAGTGGGCTTAAGTAAGTTTTTAAGAGCGATGGTCAGGAAATATCGACCAAAATCTTAATTTCGTGGCAAGAGTTGAAAAATCGCTTTCTTTCGTTTTTTTTTTTTCCATAAATAGCTTTTAGGTAGATAAGATACCTGATGTGGATTGTTCCCGCCAAAAGCTTTTTATTTTTTAGAAAAATTAGAATATCGGTTTTTGTGGTCGGAATCACAAAATTGGCTAATCATTTACGTGAAATTTGCATACATCAACTTGCCTCTCGTTCGCAAACAAAGTCGCACGGAGAAATTTGGACACTTTATTTCAACAGAATCACTGTTCTTCTTTTACTAGAAGATTCTTTTAGAGCAAAAGCGACACTCACCGAGCAGAAATTATTCAAAAATGAGGAATAGGTTTTATGGATAACAAAAACTCCGTTTTGTTATTGATTTTCGACGGCAATATTGCACATGTGGTATAACTCCAAATTGACTTCATTCTAGTTAAATCCCACATTTAGACATACATCTAAAACATACCTGGGAATTAGCTTGGGTTATTGAATGAAATCTCTATAAGGCGGTATCGAAGTTAAGGAATTTTCATGGTGGGTCGGCGGTAATTGAGTAAACACTTCCAGTTTCGAAATCCATGAGAGTGGATATTTGATCCCCAAATACTCATTTTTCTTAATCCTTGTAGGTTTTACAGTTGCAAAGTTGCGTTTCTACTTAAAGAGTGAGATAGAAAAGCCAAACTGGGTGAATTTTAGCCATTTTGAAACGCTAAACTCTATCGACCGGAGACTCCGCGTGACGAATTGTTTCGTGACTAAACGTGATATTGGGGAGTCGACCAGTCACGGAATCACAATATTAACACTGCATTTCTTGACGGCGTATGAGAACAGTGTAAGGGTATAATTGAATGAGTAAAACAGCAAGTTTTGGAAAATATGGCTCTCAAAACTCGGTTGCCATGGTAACGTCAATGCTGACGTACAAGTCACGACGACTTTAAAATGTCCCCAGATGATTTTTAGGAAAAGTCGCTAGGTTTGGTGCTCAAAGCTTGAGCGGTTTTGAAGTTATTCAACTTTTAAGCAAAGGGGGACTTCAAACCCTCCCCGGTCTAAATAGGGTTAAGGGTGTGAATAAAATAGAAGAACGTATGGAATGCCACGAGTAAACGTAAAAGCTAAACCTCGCTCAACTTTTACGTTTACGTGCGACCTTTCAAACATTGCCTCTATTTAAATTACGCGCCTAAAAGCTACGTGTGTATGCACGTGAAATTTACGCGACAGTGGGAATCCACCCTTATTCACCTACCTAGACGCGAGCAGTAACCAATTAGAGAGCACTCATGTAGTAGGCAGTCGAGTAACATTCATAATACACCTACGCCAGGCACGCAACAAAATTATTTCCCTTTTTCACTTTCTTATTTTACCTTGAAATCAGTCTTGAGGTACCGCTTTGCCTCCTTTAAAGCTTCCTTTTGTGTTTTTGCCCATGTAAGACCCATTCCGTTTTCCCCGAGCTGGTGCACAACGTTCACAAGATCTTCAAATGCCTGCGCACCAGAACAGCTTACGTAATCTAACCCTTGCAATGACTTGCGAGTCGAAGCGGAACAAATATGCAGAATTCTTAGCAGTGTACTGCGACTCATGGGTGTGAAATCATGCTCGGCAGAATATTTTTGGTACTGGCAAACGATTCGTTCGGGTATCATGTTCCGTACCACATTTGGAACTTGGATGACCTCGTTAGTTGACAATGTTATTGTCTTGGCTCCGAATGGAAGATCTTGAATTACATGGGAGCTTGTGATAAAGTCTAGGAAATGCGCTAATTTTGCTTCAGGTATGAATGACTTCGTTTGTGCATTGGTAGGCACCAGTTTTCCACTGCCATGGAATGCAGCATGCTGCCTGGCGACCTTAAACCGATAACTTGTCAGGCCTGGGATTCACTGTTGAATTGTTGCCAAGCTAACCTTATCCGCCATTATGGACAATATCTGCCTGCGAGAATCCCTTTCGTTTGCATTTTTGTAGCAGTTTGCCAGCGTGTACATCAATTCTTTATCCAAACCACTAGAACAAGTGTGATTTCCAGTTTCATTTTGTTTTGAGGACATAATAGATTCCCAGAGAAGATCTGGATCATTAGGCGCTATTTCACCAAGAACAGCTGAAACCGCTTGCTTGGCTTTGCGCTCATGCAGTCGTCTAGTCCTTCCACTGGCATCGTTCCAAGGTGTCTTTAGGGTGTACCTAATAGGACTAACGTCTCGACTTCTTAAGAAACTGTTAAGGTGGTCAATAGGTTCTTCCGACTTCATTCCTGTAGCGCTTGTCTCGGTTTCTTCTAGGAGGGTTGATGGTTAGTCCTCCTAAAGAGAGCCCGCGTTCCAGCGGATGACATAATTAATTTTTATTGTACAACTATACGTCCTGTTCTGGAATACTGCGCACAAATATTCCATCATGCGTTACCTGCGTATCTTAGTGATGACATTGAAAGGGTCCAAAGACGCGCATTATCCATCATTTCACCAGAACTGTCATACCATGACTCCTTAGACAGGCACGGTTTAGCTTCGCTCTATGACAGACGCATGAAATTATGTACGGATCTGTTTTTGTCTGTCTAAAATCCATCTCAAAAATTATATAATTTGCTGCCAGATAGGCATTTTTCAGCTTACAATACTAGACACCGGCGCGTTTTTAACATGCCGCGCTTTCGCACTGACCGTTTTAAATTTTCATTTATCCCGGCTATGTGCGCGTGTGCTAACCTAGATTTTTAGCTATTCCACTGCTGTATATTAGCTATATTAGTTATATTAGTAATTTTATTTAGGTCTTAGCATTTTTGTAATAGGTAGTCTTATATAGTCTTATATAATCAATGATTGTGAAAAGCACGCAATTCAGCCTATGACTGCAATGTATTTTATTTGATAATAAACTATCTATCTATCTATCTCAAATATAATGACGTTTCTTGCTCTAGTAAGTCATGTGCTACCACCGAACAAGGAGTACTTGCAGCAATTCGAAGGTTACACATCACGCCCTAGACAAGGACGCAAAATAAATATAACGTAAAATGTATTTAAAAAAATTAATTGGGTACATAATTATCAAAGTTAACCAACACTTAGACAAAGATCAATAATCCCTCCTGATCTTTGTTGCCTTTATTATGGACTAAAAATAAAACCTTTTTTGCTGCCTTCATTTATGATAAAAAGTGCCTAATTTATTACATAAAATACCTTTCATTATGACAAATAAGTACGAACTTTAAAGCGAGTGGTAGAGGAACCCGGAGTGGTATATTGGAAACCCGAAACGTTTTTCTGGGCGTTATTCACCGTATCCTTAACCTTGAGAAAATCACATGAACTCGTATCCCTGGCGGTATAAGGTGGAGGGATGCGTGTGTGTAGGTGGGGGCAAGTGGAAGCAAAAATGCAGTTTTTTTTTTTTTTAATGAACCCTTTATTCTTAAAAGAACAATTTGGCCTCAGCTTACCATCGCGGACTACGTGGTCTTTAACTTGTTGCCACTGCTTCAAGTTCTCAGATTTTGGTCAGAATAAAAATAGAAAATCCGCTGAATAAATTTAAACTGTGTGCAGACGCAAGGGCGACATAAAATGCACGGGGTATTAAACCTCTTCATTATCTGCGGAACTCAGGAAAAACTGACGTAGAAGGCACAAAATAAGCATATGGCATTGTTTTCTTGGATACCAGCACACAGTCTGAGGTCTACGAAATCGGTTAATTTGTGCTCTCTATCCCTATTCGTTACATTTTAAGGAAAGGCAGCAAGGAAACGGGGCCCGCTCATGCAGACTTTGTGATGATAAGGTCCCTATCCATTTTTTTTTTTTTTTTTTATCTTTTTTGCCCCGCGGGCCTTGTTTGGTGCTACTGTTAATAACACTATTTCCATTGAGTGCCAGTTCAGAACTTACAGAAGTCTCAATAGTCTCAGTTTCCTCGTAAGAAAGGTTCTTGGTCTCCGGAAGCTTTGTGGGCAGCTCCCCTATTTTCTGCATGTCAAGATTAACCCGGCAGTTGCGACAAATACCTGTTGAGTGAATCGATGGAAAATGCAGG